ACAAAACGCAGCACGCAATCGTTCAACACTCTGGTGCTGCATTGAACCACATTTTTAGTCATTGAAAATCGTCGCCCTCCAGTGACATCGACCGAGTTCCATACTTACAGTCAGAGTATTGCAACCCTTATGACTTGTGAGCTGGGTTGAGCTGCTGATAGAGGGTTCCGTGGGTGCTGAGTTATCTGCGGAGTAATGGCTGATTATAATGCGGGGCAGTGAAAGCCGCAAGAAATCTGTCTCGCTGATGCCGCCTTTGCTTTGCCCGATAGCCAGCTGTTTGTGACAGTATGTTGTTAAGGCAAGATGTAGGCGCCTTGACCCTAATTGTTGGCTTAGGGCATTAAAGTTTTCATGCAAGCTCCCCTTCTCTCCCTCTTCTTATTCTTTATTCCATAAGTCATCAAGGTTGTATGGCAGCGAAGCATCAGTTCAAGTGACTGATGTACTGCTGTTATTGTTTACGATGCATCACACAGAATTTGTGTAGCCACAAATTGAGCTCCTCCAATGGATCGTGTTTCGTGTTATCACAAACTACATAATTAACTTTATTATTGTTCATTTTGTTTTTCTTTTCTTTCATTGTTGATCACGACTTGGACTATCTCTTGAGGTGACACAGTGAAGCTCAATCAGTGTACGCACGCAATGCGAAATGCCACAAATAAGTGCTATATTTTGTAGGGTTAAATGGGCCGAAGTGGCCACCCTAATTGCATATGAAAATGATCTGAAAAATGAGTTAAAGCGCTGTAATGGCCTGTTTGATTTTAGACCACACTGAAACACGGCCTGATTAGATGAAATTGCCCGCTCTGTTCGCATATAAAAATCGCTTTATGTGATGAATTAAAGCAATGATGGCTTGAAAGCTTTTAAACTACACGGGCACGCATTTCCAGATGGGCGTGGAAGTGCGGGTGAAACCCTTAAGGGGACTAACCCGCATGGAAGCTAGTCCCCAGGAGACGGTTCCACGAATAATCGAATCACTTTACTTGAATCTTAGACCGTTTCCTTTACTCTCTCTCTCTCTCTCTCTCTGAAATCTGTTGCACTTCTCGCTCTATTTTATTGTATTTGTTCTTTTCTGTGGTTATGGTGGTTTAACAAGCTTGTAAAATCCTGATTACACCCAAAGGGCCATGCATCGTAAAACCGAGAATTTACGTGATTATTATTATTAGTAATAACAGTAGTATCCAAGCACGCTGATATGCGGGTTCAACATGCGATCGCTGGACACCATTGTGGGTAACCAGTTGCGTGTCCGCAAGACATTCTTAGTACTAAGCATGTTTTCATCCGGCAAACCCGATCTCAAGTCTGAGCAATGAGTCTCCAGACAGTTACTGTAAATTCTCTCTGCTTGCCGACATAATCCGACTGGAATTGATTACGATAAATATAATTAAGATCTCAAGATAAATTTTCGTAATGGTTTGAGGAGGGACCGGGGAGTCTGGTGTTTTCATCGTTCTTTGGAGATGGGCACAGCCTTTGCTCATGGTAACCACCAGAAGTTAATCCTTCTGATACGTGAAACGGGCAGTGACTGACCTGCTGCTATCGGAACTGAACACGGCGAGATAAAATACCTATTCACAACTTACCAAAACGTATGGAACTCTGAGCTGAACGCTTTGGAAGGCAGTTTACTTGGCAAGACGCACCATCTTAACAGTGATCGCTCTACTTCTTTGGTCGTTCCTTTGAATCCGCGCTCTCTCGCAGAACTCGCAAGTAAGATCGGGCCGTCGAAATTTTATAGGGGTTTGGGATCAGATGAACTCGCTGCATCCCTCTTCGAATTAAAGGACCAGCGCTTGTGGAAAACCTGCACGATTTATTATTTCATTGTGCGTTTCTTTGTCTCTCCCCCTCCTGCTTATTCTCCATCAAACCAAGAGCGCATTACTTATGCACAATGTTATTTTTGTTGGGTTTCACTTTTACTCTTTTTTCATTCCTTTGTTAATCCCGTCAATTTTTTTATATTGTTGTGCAATTAGTGAACCTGTACCTGTATGGCTGAGTGGCGGTTAAACTCCTAACTTTAATAACTCATCCGCTTGCACAAGACATCCCGCAGCACCTCTGCATACAATGATGGCAACTGAAAACTGCTCATCCGAACCTCTTCCACTCAGCGGCGTGAACATCAACTAGGGTGCATCACTTGTAATGCGGTTTCACTATTTTTGTCTTCCTGTGTTCCACCCATTACACCTCCGTAATTAACATCATCTGCTCACAACTTCATCTTTAAACGTTTCTGACGTCCACTGCTTATTCAGACGACTCAGTTTGTGTCCAATACTTACATCATGGCGCATTGAAAATGGTCCCAAACGGGGTTCGGTTCGGATCACCAGTTACTTGATTGTGAAGCTATGTGGCAGGCAGATGACATAATAGTTAAATCACTGTGCTGCTGTCCATTGAGCACTAAAGCGGTGTTTAGGTCGACAAGGTTACATTCACTCCACCATCTGTAGTTGACGTATTTTCTAGCGACTTTGGTCGGTGGCAGTATCATTTGGTGGACGTAAAATAACCCGATTCAACCGCATGCGTTGCAGGGTTATATAGGGAATGCAGTCGAAATCATTGGTACAATGCACATCGGCTCCAATACGTGATACCTAGTCGTGGTTTGAGTTCGTACCATCTGGCCAAGGATGCGTTACGACGCCACTGTGTTGTGAGGCGCTGTGTGTAGTGAGGCACTGTGTGAGACAGCACACACAGACTCGAACGAAGTATAAAGTCAATCCTGGCAGTAGCTGTTGACTGATCTGATGCGGAGGAAATATGTCGAAAGATCCTATGTGAAATGATACTGTAGGGGTGTAGGACGGTCAAGAATGATTCCTTTCTAGTCACCAGGGTAAAGGGAAGACGGGCACAAAAGGAAAGACGGTCGAAGATAAAAGAACACTTATAGAAGATTTAGTTGAGTGATTGATACCGTCTGACAGATTCTGACCCAATAGTCTTAAGCATAGCTATTGAAGAGAAATAGCTAACTATGAAACTTTCATCGAATGATTAATTGATATTCTGACACACGAAGTAGTGTTGTTTAGGTCATGGTGACTGCAACTTCCAAGCTCTGTGGGTGTGGTTTAGGAACCGTCATGGTTTGTTTTAGTAGGGTTAGAACTATTTATGTATGCTTTGTGATCGTACTGTGTGAGGTTAATCATACAACGCTCAGCAGCATGTGAATTTGCGCCCTGTAGACCAGACTTTGTTTGCCTTAAAAAGATTGGTCGCAATGACAGGCGGTGGCTTTATTCTCCCCCCCCACCGCTTTTGAATACTCGTTCTTTCCATTCTAACCTTCTCGTTTTCTTGCTATTTGCAAGGTTTTTCAGTTTAAATTTGCCACCATTGTCTACCAAGTATTCAGCTCCCATGATTAGCTCCGTCTTTTTAATTTCTCCCTTTCCATGTTTCGCATATTCACATTTCTCGATAGCTCTGATGCTTTCATGCAGTAGCTCTTCTTCGGGCTGTTCGATCAATGCTGTTGGTTTCCACTTCTTCGAGCAACGTTTCAATCTCTATTCGCTGTTTGCAGTGTCATCTTGATGTACCCCTTATTAGTCACGTTCACTCATTGAGATTGTTCTACTTGGTTTTTTTACTGCTAAGCATTTTCACGGTCAGTTGCAAGTGTTTTGCTCCGCCCTTCCGTACGGCCAACTATCCTTTGCACGTTTCGTCAGACGTATGCTCGTACGCGCTCTCGACAAGAGTGTCAATATTGCCCGCGTTATCTGTATTTTTTTGCTTTTCCTCTTAGCACACCGTTCTCCGTATCTTTTCGATTCTACCTTGCTTTTGGATACTCTTTCTCCTATTCTAGTACTGTTTGAGCATTGTACTTGAAAATTCGGCGAAATCCTTACTGTCCTCGTTACGTTTTCTTATCAATGTAATGTCATGCTTTCCTTTTAGAATGAGCTGGATGTGTTAGATTTAATGACCTATCCACGGCGGTACACTTGTGCGCTTACTAAGCGGGTCAACCTGGAGTTCACTGTCCTAGCACAAACGCAGTTTGGAGTCAGTGTTTACAACTGTCCCGATCTCGCCACTGTTGACGTATTTTCTCGTACAAGCACTTATTCTTTTTTCCATTCGTTTATCTGCTCTATTATCTTGCGTTTCCTGAGCTTATCATCCATTTTTTGCAACTATTCTGAGCAGTAACAATTTTCAAAAATGGTTTACTTTTCGGTTAAGGTTGAGCGTCGCGTTTTGTTTCTAAGATTCCCGTATCCTAGCTAAGTTGGATCGTTCGTCTCACTGCCCCTAGATTCCAGTCTATCAACGACGTAAACCCGAACCTAAATAACCTGATAGTATTTCTCCTTCACTCATTAAACTACAGACAGTTTACAGTCATCCGCGTCTTCAACACGTCTGCTGTTTGCAATTCCTTTGAGGTCCCTCTATATTTATTCGAGAAATTAGTTCGTGGCAATCAGCGTTGGGTTTTGGAGTATCCTCGGTTTGTTTGGATTACGACGCGAATCTCTATTGTGATCTCGCTCATTCCGATCATTGGGACCGTATTTGAAGTCGGTTTTCGTTGTTGCTCCTACCTAACTGCACTGCGCGATCGGTTTTATCCTCATTGGAATTTAACACGTAAAAATAGCCAGAGCTGGAAGCGACGCTCACGGTGTAACAATAAATGGTTGACGTTTCGATCATTAAGCCACTGAGGGTCGCGAGTAACGCTTGGTCCAGGGGTTAGGACTTGAATCTTTTATTCTGAACTACACGCCGTACTTTCTTAGCATGTGTTCACTTTATTCGTCACCCTGTTGTCGTTTTTTGGATTTTCCATATTTTGTCCGAATCATTTGAACATGTTTGTTCTTTTTCCTGATTGGGCATCAGTCGTGTTCGTTTCCCCACAGTTCTCCACTCACTGCTTTTGTCCTCACTCTTCCTGTTGATGTGCTCCTCTCCATCCTCAGCGCGTTTCCCTGGGGCAGTTGCTTCCACAGCCTGTTGGACATAATATGGCGAAATGATCTGCATCTTGACTCTCGTTGGCATGTATTGCAAGTGTTGCTTTCACGTCTCCGGTCTACGTTGCCGCCTCCGCGGACTATTGGCTATCTTAGCTGCCCGGATCCGTTTAATTCTTCCCGAGTATGTTTGTTGTTACCTCGTCTACCTACCTACACCTGACGTTCATCACTAACTGCTTCTTAAGATGGTCCACACGCAATACATTAACCCTTTTCCTTTCTACTTATTCTCATGGAACTGTGTTTACGCCTATTCATCTGTATGTGATCGGAAAATCTCGCGTACTTTTAGCCATCTCCTCCGTTTTCTTGTATCTTTGACCCTTGTACATCTATGTTTACATTTTTTCCTTGCATTATTAAACTCTCTGTTGATGGGGCCCACACTCATTCATACTCACTGGTTTATGGCCGTTACACTCCATTTGAACCATATCGTATCTTCTATGGGCAGCTTATTTCTTCTCATTCGTTTGCATCTCTCATACTGACTCACCTGGCCGAGTATTTAAGCAGATTGATGTCACCTAACTGGGTTATCGGTCGCCACTCCGGGTTTTGCTCTTATACTTTCCTCCTTCTCTAGATGGCTGCCAAAACATAACCTGCTGCTTTTCGGTTGTGTGCTCCCGCTGACTTTGGAGGTGTTCAAGAATTCTTCTGAACTAGCACTGTTTCTGAACTTTCCATCGCATTAGCATTTTATTCCGATTGCTTATCTAACCCTATACACCGTTTTAGGTGAATAACAACGATGAATACTGTTTGGTAAAATAAGACCCAACCAACTCTGCGTCACCTAGGGTTTTAATTTTTGACTCTAGCTGGTATTCTTTACAATTAAATTAGCCGCAGCAAGCGTGCGACCACTCTCGCAGTACGGAACTCAGAACTGCCTTAACGCGTCTGTGACACTAAACACCGCTAAGAAGCGATTTACCTTTCCCCTTTTGGTCTGTTCTTCTCTACCGGTCTTATCATCTGATGCGCATTCCGTAATTTAGCTACTTTTGCTTTCAGCGCATTGTTTCCATCAGGTCACCCTAGTGTGCCCACTACGTTGGCTACGCGGGCATGGAATCTAGCGGAATAGCACGCGTTGGTTCAAACAGGTACTACGCATACCAGCCCTCCTCTTGGGATCTTGCTTCCTTTTCGTGATGTGAAGCGATAGAGACCTGGTAAAGGAAGTTACGGACTACAATGCCGGATGCTGTTTGCACACCCCACCCTCTGGGTTTAGGTTCAGTCGACCCACGATGTGTTTGGCTCTAGACTTTACGTGACGTTTCCCGCAACCGGTACCGGTGGTGGCATTGTTTCAATCGTCATCGAGACGAAGCACCGGATTATGTTCAGTTTCGTTAAACAACTATGATCTGGGCACTGAAGTGCGGTGGATCCAGTTGCAACGACTCACGTCGCCAGAGTGATAATACAAAACAACGGCAAACGGCAGTGTGCAGCAAGTCTGCTATTCTTCAAATGGGTTCGCCTCACGGACTGGTCAGGACGCTGAGAACGGATCAACTGTCCATATTTTTCAATTATTGTTTCACTAACTGTGGGTTTTCTTGAATTCCTGTTCCAGATAAGCTGCTATAGCACTCGGCTGTCCCTAGTAGTACTGACATTCTCTACCTCATGGGCCGTTGCCACCTACTAGTGTTTTCGGCTTAGCCGAATACTCCTTGTCAATAGTTGTTTCTGGACGCTACGGACACACTGAAACCCAGGACCTATTTGAACCTGTTTCCGTGCTTCGATCCACCCACAGTTCGCAGTCCCTAGTTGGTTGCAGAGGTGGCGACAAAAACATTCTTCGTTGCACACTTGCGGCCATTCTAAGTCGGCATTCAATGTACCAATCTCATCCAACACTAACAATTGGTGTGCCAGTTCGTCACTATATTATTGAAAATGTGGACTGCGAGTTACATGTGAGAAGGTTAGAAGTCAGGCGCTCCTTGGAAACGTGAATAGTGAGCGCTAGTCATGTGCGCACTAGCGCATGGTCAGAATCCAGGCGCTTATTTCAATTTGACTTGAACTAATATGCGCCATCTGCAACTGATGACAATTAGGTCAATTTGTGTCCAGATCATCGAGGAATTCGGTATGTACCAGGTAGCACGATGTGAACATTTGTGCTGGAAGGCAGTGCTACTAATATACACATATACAGATGCATAGTTGCTGGAATATATCACCATTGCCTGTTCGACGTGCATCGACCCCGAAACGGCCGTCCAGGTGTTGTTCAGAATCTGAAAGACGTCCTACTTGGGCATTCAAGTCATCAACCACAACCACGATGTCAGTATTATTCTCCATGCGCAGAAAGGATACAATCTAGTGATAGAAGTCGTATTTGATTCCTTCCGAACTGCAGTCAATAGGGGGCGATGAAAGGACACCTGAACTTCAGACGGTGCTTATTAACCCCCACCGAGGTTCGAAGCCAAACTGCACACTTGCGATAGATTGCTTTTAGTATTTTTGGTGAGAACAATACCAGCGCCGTAAATTCCGTTAGTTGTTGACTCATTATCGCCAGAGACACCTGTTTATTTTGTGGTGCTGACTTACCTCTTGGGTAACGTCGATCGTGGTGCCCAACCGTCCTAGACGCTAGGATACTCTATTGTCGGTGCTTTCTTGCTTCCGTACAGTGCGCAGCTGATTTCAATCTACTATTGTTGATACTACTGCGGCTGTTGTTGTCGTCGTCAGGTGTTGCCTGCTAGCAGCACTACACTTCGCCACAGGTTTCGTATTCGTTTGCACTCGATAGGTAGACATAGCAGTAATTCGACTCGGACTCTTGACGTTTCGATATCAGCCGAAACCTTTGTCCATGAGCCGCCAGTTCGTAGAAAATGTTTGCCACGAAGCTGAGTGCCATTTTGAAGCACTCGTAGGGGAAGTGGATTGAGGCAAGTGCTGTGTTATTTCCGCGATTTACGTTACTTCAAGGCCGGATCCGTCACGTTCTGTACGTGAAACGCGATTACATTTGTACACTGTTTGTTCGGAAATCGATTCAATTCCTCTACCACTGTCCTACTTGTGGTCTACGATGAAGCATCTTCCTTTGTTTCATTGTAGAGAACTGGACAATCGAACAGACACTCACTCATCTTTATCGCATGGTCCATGACACGGACTTGCCTAGTCACCAGAATTGACAATACCTTGCTGTATAGCTCCACATCAGTATCCTGTGCACTGCGCGACGTGGTCATTGTTTCCTCACTACCCGTTCCCTGGTACACTTCTCTCGAAGGGGAGCATCATCTGGCTATCCTGATTCATCGATCAACATTACTGATGTGAATAAGATGCATTTAAGCTACAGCAAAAACAAACAACCAGTTGACGTAGGTATCGCTTATATTACATTGGCCCTGTCATCACTAGTAACTAGATTGAGAATCACGCGTTATTGGCCATTCGCGATATCATACAGTACCTCTACTTATTTGTTTTCCATTCTAATCTACTCAAGCGCTTCACGAATCTTGTGCACTACTCTTAGCGTTTTCACCTTTTTAGCATTCACTACTTGCGTTTTCTCCCGCTTCTCAACCCCGTCGATCACTCACATCGCCTGGTCAGACACCTTACAGTTGGGGGCTTGATCAGCCGTTCTAGGACTGAACACCTGCCCGGCTTGATGGATATTGTGCAGGTTGTTTTTGAGCTTCCCAGACGCCACCCACACAATGACTAAACTCATATTACCGTATCCTCCTTTGTCCTCTGCTTGCTGCATTTTGGCGCACTTATTTAACTCACTGAATTTTACCAAGCTATTGAGGTTAATAAATCTGACGCGCACCGCTTAAGTCCCTCCGCCTGGGGCTCCTTACCCGACTTTCCCCTGTAGTGTCTGTCGTTTGCGCATTGATTCATTTAGGGCAGTTTCACATTTAACTTTTCGTTCTAATTCATGTTACCATTCTTTTAGATCCTCAAGTTTCCCATCCCAACCCCAAGGCATCCGCACAATGTCGTGAGTAGTGCGCCGGTCTCCTTAATTTGAATTCTTTTGTTACAGAAATACCTGATGGAATATTACACAGCCCTCGATGCTTCGCTATGGATACATATTTTCGTATGGTGAGTGCATCTTTGTCCTATTGTTTATGAGACTCGTGTTTCTTACTTATAAGTCATGGTTTATTTATTCCCTCAGTCTTTTTCATCGATTCTTGACACAGTTGTTCAACCTTAGTGCTTCGCCGGATCTACCTAGGCAAATGAATTTGTTGTCGGCCGTGGTTGGTGTGGTGGCCACCCCCTACCTTTTCGCCAAAGTTCCTGAGTCGCTGATCTGAGTTAACGTTCGACCACAATTACCGCACTGCGGCGCCCGCGTTCCGCTCTTTGGTCTCCTATTGGACTGTACAGAGACGCACGTTGCAACGCCCCGCATCCTTTCGCTTGCAAACACCTGTCTCGACTTCTCATCACTAGGGTTCTAGTTTTTCCTACTTTCTGCTCCCTGCTGCTGTTAGGAGCCTCAGCCCGCGTGGTACATACTTTTTTCGCGTTCCATCGCTCTTAGATAGGCGCGTCGTTCTATCATGTCTATTCCACATAGTCTATGTTTCATTGCCTTAGTTTCCTTCTGACTTATTTTATATCTGTCTCTTGACCGATTCCTAATCATTCAATCTAAAGGGCTTGGTCGATTTGGGAGTGGAGAAGCAACGTTTCTGCGGAGTTACCCGAACTCGCAGCACACCATCTGGTCACGGAAGGTTGCTTTTGTGAGCGATGGTAGCACCGTATCTCATTCCACATCGCCACAGATAAATTCGTCTCAGCAAAATGCCGATGTCACTCAAGATCACAACTAAAGTGTTTCGGTTCCCAGCTTCACTAAGCTGACATGTTGACCTTTGTCTACTAGAGCTCGAATTCCATGCACACTGCGAATCACTGGGATTATTCAACCTGGAGATCCGCAATGACTCATTAGCTGTTGCGACAGTCATTCACTGGTTCAGGCGTCGGTTCGTATTCCCTACGTCTTGGGTTCGAGTCGCACTGCCACTCGCTCTGCCTGACTGGTGCAGCCGAGTACGAAACCGTTCGTGGAGCGCAACAGTGCAAGTGGGCGATGCCTAACCCTCATTTGCTTCAGTAACTAAGATTCGGTTCACAGTTAACCTTGGTCCAGCTTGTGATAGTGAGTGAATATCCATTCATACGACGGATGTTTCAAAGTGAAGTCACAACTTCGATTGCGCTGTTTGGTACTCACTTCCTCCAACTTACATGGATTACCGGCATTGCACAGTCAACTGTACGCCTGGGAGTGCGATATTTGTGGCGACTGACACGCGTGATCCCTGGGCTATGTTTTGAGCTGCACGAACACAGCTTTCTCTTCCTAGTTCGATCCTTGCACTCCCCGCTCCGCGTGTTTCGCTAAACTGTATTTTACAGCAGTTACTTCGCCGGTGCTCGAGTGGTTCAGGCTTCTCTCTTGCAATCCACATTTCACCAGTTCGACCCTGCTTAGGTTCGGACAATCTTGTAGTGTCCCAACTCGCACGCCAGTGTCGTTGATCCGTTTGCAGCGAGGCGTCGGTACGGCATGCTGGCGTACTGCTGTTGCCGTTCGTTCCGTATATTTAGCACCTCATTGTCTCACCGTGGAAGTACCGTTGTCATTCAGTGTTGAAATTAGATGGCCACCTTTGTGAGCCACTGAAGTGTAATTGTGCTGCACGTTATCCTCACAGCACTGTGTATACACACAGGGGTACCTCATACACCAATTGCCCCATTGGCTGTTCATCCAAGTGCTTGACCACAGATTTGCACTGTATAGCACTGCTTGTAGCTGATTTTGTTAAGCTCGCTTCTAAAGCGATAGCTGATTGTTGACCACGCATTACCTCTTGAAATGAAGACCGTGATTTCTCAATGAAATGTGTGCGTTAGGCAGCTCATTGTGGTTATCGAAAAATACAGATCCTTTGTATTGATGATCAGATTGTTTCCTTAGTACACGGATAGCTTCAAAAGTTGCATCCACTTTGGCACGTGCGAGGCGCTCCAGATCATAGCTTACCCAGGGGGCGTAGTTTTATTTACTGCGAGGCTCGAGTTAGCCACAGTTGACTTATCAACGAGAAATGAAGTATTTAACCACCGAACCAAGTACTGTTGGTCCGTTTCGTCTTCCAGACTAGGGGCTACGCAACTCGCTTTGTGCTTTTCAGGACATGGCTCACGGTCGGCACCAGTAGCGCGCTTGCTATTGTAGCCTACTCGAACTGCCTGTTTAGTTATCTACGAAGTGACAACCGAAAATGACACAGGCAGTGCAATTCGCCAGAATGCTATCTCGCCAAGGCCGTCTTATCTTCGCACGATACCTAATTGTGGACGACCGTATGTTGTGGATGACATGTAACCACCTTGACCATATGTGTTTGCTTTTAAGATTTAGGTTTTGTACTAGGTCCTCCTCTTCCACCTACTATTATTCTTCATTCCTTATGTACTTGTATGGTAGCGAAGCATCTGTTCAAATGGTGGATATACTGCAGTTTACATATATATATATATATATATATATATATATATATATATATATGCACTTGCTCAGCTGCGAAACGGTAAGTGTGCCGGAGCCGACGGGATCCCGCCTGAAGTATTGAAACACGGCGGACCCGCGTTGGTGACTGCGCTTCACTACTTGGTGCAACGCGTGTGGATTGAGGAGGAGGTGCCTCCTGAGCTGATGGATGCCCTTGTGCTACCACTGTACAAGGGCTAAGGGAGCAAGAGATGTTGCACGAATTATCGTGGCATCAACTTGCTGAGTTGTGTGGGCAAGGTGATTGCCCGATTCCTGCTCAACCGCCTCGTCAGTCAGGTTGTGGAACCGAACGTAGTGGAAGAGCAGTGTGGATTCCGTTCGGTTCACAGCACTATACATATGGTGTTTGCGGCTCGTCAGTTGCCGGAGAAGTGCAGAGAACGACACCAGCCGTTGTGCTCGCTTTTTGTTGATTTTACCAAAGCATTTGATACGGTGAACCGCGAGGCATTGTGGCTGGTGTTGGGTAAGTTTGGTTGCCCGCGTAAGTTTGTAAGTTTAATTGAATGTCTGCACAGTGGTATGCGAGCGAGGGTGCAGCTGAGTGGAGAGACCTCAGATGACTTTGCAGTCGTCTCTGGTGTGAAGCAAGGCTGTGTCTTAGCTCCTGCCCTGTTTAATATCTATCTTCATGCAATGTTGTCTTGTGCTTTTGATGCCGCTTGTGTTTACGGTGTTCGTGTGGAGCACCGTATTGATGGTGGATTGCTGAACATCCGTCGTTTCGGTGCGAGAACTCTAGTCTGTGAGACGACTATCCGTATGTTGCTGTTTGCTGACGACTGTGCGTTGTTTTCACACAGCGCGGATGAGTTGCAGCACATGACTAGTGCTCTGGCATCGACAGCGGCCAAATTCGGGCTCACCATCAACACAAGCAAAACTCTGTCTCTTTCAGCCTTCACCGGAGGTGCAATCTTCTATATTGCCGCGAATCAGCATTGGTGCTGAAGTATTAGAAACCACATCCCGCTTTTGCTACCTTGGGAGTGTTATGTCGACTGATCAGCAGCTACACGTTGAGTTGCGTATTCGCGTGTCGAAGGCAGCAGCGGCATTCGGGAAGCTTGAGTACCGAGTGTAGAACAACCATCAGCTTACGATTGGCCCGAAGCTGATGGTGCACAAATCCATGGTGCTGTCCGTCCTTCTATACGGCAGTGAAACGTGGACCATGTACCGGTGGGATGTGCGATATCTCGAGCGGTTCCATCAGCAGTGTTTGCGACGGCTTTTTCGCATCGGTTGGGGCGACAGAGTTGCAGACACGGAAGTGTTGCACCGAAGTGGAATGTATGCAATGGACTGCATACGCGGATACCGAAAGAACTCTTATATGGTCAGCTGAGTATTGGGAAGCGGCACGTGGGGAAACCAAAGTTACGTTACCAGGACATGATTAAAGTGAGCCTCTCACGTTCTAATCTTGATTGCAGGTCATGGGAATCGAAGGCGGTTGATCGGCGTTCATGGCGCGATCTGATCACGAAGGCAGTTGCCGACGTGCGGGAGAAAGACCTCATACATGCAGAGAAGAAACCGCAATTGCGGTAGCAGCATACAACGATGGGTTGTACTCCACCGACATCAAGCGCATGGTGCTGTAGCACATGTGGTCGCGAGTGCCTGAGTCCGGCAGACTTAGTGAGCCATGAGCGAGGCCACTTGGGACCACTACCGAAGCGACGACGGGTCCTGCAGAGAACGTACGCAGAACCAGCGTAGCGTTTGTAGGTACGCTGCATTCGATTTACTAACCGCATGCTTTCATGCTGTCTCTTTATTTCAGGTGGTGGGTTTTCAATTTTGTCGTAATGCTTTTCTTTTTCATATAAATGTCTACCTGTACGCTCTTCTATAAAATTGCTCACGTCGCTTAAGCCAATTGTAGTTAATTTCATTAACGTTTTCGTGTTCGTGTCATTTCCGTAAAATATACTTTCTGACCTCGTGAACTTATCTCGGATCCTTTGGAAGCAACTTATTATGCTCATTAATTTAAAATTTTTGTCGCGCTCCTTTATGCATTACTCGTTTTACTTTCTTTGTTATCTTTCTCACAAGTGATTGGCTGTTGCTTGACATCCCCGGTGTGGCTACTCTTGATGTGCATGTTGACAAGGTGCCTACCCACTACCTCGTCCATACTGGCTCTAGGAGACAGTTGGTCTTTGCTGGAGGGGACAGGGTGCACGGTTCTTGTGGCCGTGTTAGGATCGAAGAGTAGTTCCATGCACTTAGTGTGGAGCGGACTACGGTCCAGCCACCGCCTCGTGTGTGCGCTTGGTTCCCAAATACAGCGTGCTTGTGTTTGCCTGTGAAGGAGTGTGGGCCGGCTCCGTTGGTGAAACGTGGCTCCCATCCACATGCCTCCCGGTCTTATTCCCTCGGGTTTACACTGGATATGGGGTGTGTGGATGGAGCTGTTTGTGATGCAGCGCAAGCCACCCATGGTCCCTCTGTAGGCGCAGGCGTCCTGTGGCTCGCCGCAGTGACAGGCAAATCCGAAATCGGATGCCGCCAACCATATGCAATTTTTACATTCTGATCTCCCTTGCTACTTATGCTTGGAATCTAGCATTCTCAGTTGATTTTGCATGCATGCAATTGATCACACCGATTTTCATGTTGGTCAAGTTATACGTCGATCGTGTCTTAATTACTAGTCCTCCAGATCGGTCAATCTAATTGTCAATTATCAGCTCAGTAGATTGCATAGAATTGAGCGCGCGATGGGCCAATCCTACTACATCCATCGATCACCACATATTGGCATCTTTCTGCATTGTTCGCTATTTTGATTGCCAACCGTCCGCTAGGCTAGTCTGAATGCCTTAGTGTATTGGTCACTTTCCTCTCATCCAACGCTTATGTCTGCAGAACCATCTTTATCGAGTAGCACTGCCACGTACACTGGGGTTTATTCCTCCATCCTAAGCAGCAATTGCCATCTGGCCTAGCAACTCACGGCCGTGTCGAGCACCTAAAGTCCTCATCTCTCCACTCGGGTGGTAGATGTACCCAATAATATTACATGCGATGCTTTCCTTTTTAAAAGTGCTAACGAGATTCAGAAATAACAAATCGGGATCACTTGTATTCATCTTCTGTATTGCCCGATTTTCTCTCCATTGGAAGGTCACGCTGTTATGATAAGCTAGCAGGTAGACGGCGGACCAACTCTTAATTCTAAACCGGACACGATAAGGGATGACGGCAAACGGTCGCCAACTTATTTTGTTGAATTTATGGCCTACAGACCACTAATTATATGTCTGTATTCCACTCCGTTTCGGTTAGACTTTTGCAGCCTACTTCGGGTATTAGGATCACACATAACTTAGGCTCCTCCGTATCGATCGTGTACATTGATTCAGGTCAGTTTTTACAAGCTTTATGAAGAACACTTTGTTTTTTCCCTTCCACCCTTTCCTCCACACAGTCTCATTTTGGAGAGAAGTGTGCTGTTCTACTCCAAACGCTTCACCCGATTGACAGCGTGCGTGATGACTTCTGTTGCGCTTCTGTACCCACTCCAGTGGCAAGTTTACCTTTTGTTTCTACACTCTCTTATCTCTCCTTACTATGTGACCCTAGACTACTGACCAGGCAGTTCCTTCTTTCATTCAACATCAGTTTCCGCAAACTACATGGGCGTTCTGATGCTTGCTATCTCATCTCATTATGATCCTATCCCCGATCTTCTTACGGTTGGTTGCGTCTAGTGGTCCTCCCGGTATCAAAAACAATGTCTGAGCCTCATCATAACAAATACAATATCCGGTCGTCTGCCAAGCCTTCTGAAATGATGACTTCCTGATCGGTTCCAAGCATATCCCAAGAGATTGAATGGACAAATGGCTATTTTATGCTATACACTAATTTGAATCAACATCTTATTGTAACACTTTCGGCCATCTTCGCGTCTTGTAGGGTCAGCTTGGTGTCATGGACGCTCATGCGAGATCAACTTGAGGTCAATAAAGCCCACTCGCCCCATCTACCAACCACCGTCTTATCCTTCCTTGTTTCGTTTTTTGTACCAGTGTTGCACATTCCATCTTGTCATCCACTGATCATCCGCTTGCAGTTTTGACTCACATTGGCCTCTGGCTGGTAACACAGACTCTGCTGCTCATGGTGCTGAATCTGTTCACTAATTCGCCTTCTCAGTCGCACTCGATTCCCTCGGATGATGTTGTTCCCAACCCATATTTCATAGCTTCTCTGACGACATTCGATTACTTCCGTCCTCCAACGCCCGTCAGTCCCATGTATTGGTTTAGCCATACTTCGTCTTCAGACGCTAGAGATTGAGGATTTCTTGATCTTCAAGCGTAATGTATTTTTGTGGCCGCATTCTCTTTCGTTGACGGTCTTACAGAATAGCAATCCGTTATTTGTGGTCGTAGCCGCTAGTGGCAGCGCCCTTGTTTAACGACTAAACTGCAGTTGAGCCGAGCCTGTCCCCATTTCTGCGCACTATGTTTTTCCGTTGAAGTAACATGCTGTAGGTATCCTCGTGAGTCATATTGTCTTTGGTAAACATCACTTTTCTACTTCCGTGACAGCATTCACAACTACATTCCGTTTCGGTAGTGGCCTCGTACTGTTCGGCCTTTTGAGACATCTCCGTGCTGCACTACATCTTCTGATGCAGTCTATTGACAATGGTTCCCTGAGTCCCGTTGTGAGCACACTGATCGAACTTGAATCGACACGGTTGAAAAGACACGCCTTCCCCTATCCATGATTTTTCTTGTTGTCTATCGAATGCTCTTGCATCCCTTGCTTTCAGTGCCTACTAAACTAACCCAGACCGATCGGCATCAACAAGCCGAAGGGTTCGATCGACCTTTACAGCACTCACGAAATCTCTTAATTGCTTCCGAAATACCGGCTTTCGGTTTTTGGCACTGAGATTTCAGTGTTCCATTATTCGTCTAGTTTCATTGCCAATGGCGTACCTGTACATGGCGGCTGGTGTGACCTTAAATGGGCATCCAACTAGCTTAGAATCATTAATGGCATCCACTTCGTTTTTCACACCTCACTTGTCCGACGGTATGATTTCTGTCATCTGCAGAGCCATCGGCAGTGGAATCAATGGGTGTTCCCGTGTGTCACGTGTTATTGTAGCCACTTCTGCTGTCCATTGCTTTTTTGTAGCTGTCTCTGGCTTATAGAAAAAGACATCTTACCCTTCTGCTTTTGCAGGGTTCATTCATTTTATCCTCTGATACCAGCAAAGGTGCTTGAAGTTCTTGGGTTAGTTGGGCCCTTCCTTCTGTCACTCAGCTTTCTTTCAGCTGTCCTGTCCCGTTTGTGGCTGGCATTCACGCTTGTAATTTACAGGTGAGTCGTTTTCTAGTTCCTTTTTGATTCTCTGTCTCTGTAGGCTGCTTTGGAACATTTGAACTCCGGCACCTGCCTGGTTGACTTGGACGCTGGGCATATCCAGCTTTTTCGCTCTCCCAACCCACTTGAACATGGGCTGTATGACTCCTTTGCCACACCCAAAGCAGTGGTAAGCCCCCATTTGATGCGATGTCGTCTACGAGCTCTTCTGGGAAATATTTCACATACATATACGAATTTGTTTTATTGCTTGACGCAGTGTCGAATGGTGCTTCTGTGTACTAAGCATTCTCCACACACACAAAAACACACATGGTTTGCGGCATCCGGTTCCAGGTTTTCCTGTCACGGCGTCCTCCAAGGGGACAGCCACAGGACGCCTGCTCCTACAGTGGGCCCATGGGTGGCTTGCGCTGCACCACCCACAGCTCCAAGCACACACCCCATATCCAGTGTAAACCCGAAGGAATAAAACCGGGAGGCATGTGGATGGGAGCCACATTTCATCAACGGAGCCGGTGCACACTTCTGCAGCATGCACAGCAGCATCATTTCTATATAATTTGGGAATCATGCGTACCAGACGCACACAAGGTGTTGACTTGGCCGTAGTCCGCTCCATACTGGATGGGACCACTGTTTGAGCTTAGCACGCTCACGACGACCGTGTACCCCGTTCCTTCTCAGCAACGATTCACAGTCTCCTGGAGCCAGTAACCAACGTGGAGGATGTTAGATATGTAGGCACCTTGTCAACATTCACAAGAAGCTCAAGTACACCGGGGTTATCCAACGATTCACACATAACTTGAGGGAAAATAACCTAACAAAATTGACATGGAATATGCAGCAGAATAACAGAACTGAGTAGATCAAATAAAGTAGGATACTTTTTATCCAGATTAGGATTTGAGTGTAAATCGGTGTAATCCAACTGCGGTGAAGAAGCATGATGTATGCAACATCAAGCTCAGCATGAGGCACACACAAATAGGGAAGAAATCCCTTACTTGCGATTTCGTTATTTTTTAATACACCGACCTAAAGCCATTCATTACTGGGTAGCGTACATCCCACTGACAGAATCAGCAGCAGCACCCTCTCAGCCGAATAATGTGTTGCCCTATCTGAGGGTGTAGTTGCCTTGCCTCACTTCCTCGTACTAGTGATACAAAGTGGAAAAGTTCATTCGATGCGCACTGAAAGTGATGTATACTCACTAGTTTGGTAGGCAAACTGAGCTATGTTGCTTTTCTCCAGGTTCATTTGATGTATCCGTTGAGCCCCATTTAGGTGGAGAACATTCACCATCTCGTTTCGGTCCTTTATTCATCTTCATGATGCTATTGTTCTATATCATCATCTGTCCACTCTGATGGTCGCACCGAAATCACGATACGCAAGTAGAACTAGGGTATCTGGTCGACAGTTATATCTAACGCACATAATTTGCTGTCTATTGTTTAATGCTACGAAGAGAAAAGTGATTACCACGTTTGCAGTTGTGAAACACCGATACAAAGTTATTATATCTCATTTCTGCTTCCCTTGTTATCACTGTGTCATCTCATGCCTATGTAGCTGTATCCTACATTTTAGGATAACGAAGCACCTATCTAAATATGCATATCGTTTCGTAACCTTGTGAAACGACGCTCGCGTAATAATTGAATCGCGGCATATTGTGTATATCCAAACTTTAACCGCACCACTTGGTCACGTGGAGGATCCATAGAGCGTAACCAGAGCAGAAAAAGTCAGGAACATCTGATCACAAAATCAATGTGATTGAGTTTACCGTGACATTCCTGCCCCAACTCGACTATTTTGGTGTTCTCATTGGCCCATGTTAGCTTTAGGGAATCACAATCGGAGTGCTTTAGAATTTCTGTGATTCACTTGTCACGGTTAAACAGCCCCATTATCAACTATGATCAGCTTACTAAACGTTGCTTCTGGCCAGCATCGACGTCCCGTGCACTTCTCTTAAGTTAGTTCTGCTGATTATATAACTGACTAAACTGCATCCGCTACATCGCTTCAGGCCTGGTCTGTCACAAACCATATGCGATGTTGAATCGCTCGCCTGCTTACTGTCTTCAGGCAGATGTAGTGAGACTACTAGCCACTTGCCAATCTATTTCGGTGGTAGGGCTCACACCTACCTACGGCACACAGCTTCCTAACAGTGATGGATGTCGGTCGTTAGTATCAAACCTTGTGTTGTATATTAGTGTAATATTTGGTCAATACTAGTGTGAAGCATATACTGAACACTGTATACTGTATTTTGGGAGCAAGTGGCAATTTGAATCTATACAACTCCATCGAAATATGATCAAAACGTTAAAAAAGCAAACCACAAATAGTCGATACGCTGATGTATTTTTACGTTGTCACGTTACCTCCTTAAAGATTGTTTCACTCACAGTAGGTTAGGACTCGAAAGTGTGAGATGCCTTTGGGTAATCGCTCTCGGAATCTAACGTTTGGGAAATACACATCCAATGATCGTTTGATCTGTTGCACTGGGTTCGCTTCCACTATATGTTCCAGAGAACCGTACCAGACATTTACCACTCGCCGTTGTAAGTGCAGGGAATGGGGAACTCGTTTCATATCTGCAACCACAAAACAGCAAACAACCTATCTGGCACAACAAAATCTGGTGTCCGCGTGTGCTGCGAGGCGTTCACAAGTAGAGCAGTTCCCTTATCATGTGGAAGTCGCCTACATGTATAATCCGGTAGGTCATACTGAATTCGACACGTAACCGACGATATGCCAGAGTGTACAGTCTCTGCCTCTCTCAGCTGTCTTCGTACGGTAAGCCTCGCAAACTGGGGATGAGTCTAGTAGCCTGTTCAACCTTATATGCCTTGTTGCGAGTGGTCGGGCAATAGGCAGGTGAACCATACCCTAGCATTGGTCTGATGATGGTGGAGAAAAGACGAGTGGCAACCTCTTCAGACCAGATGCAGAAACTACCTTTTAGTGCCCAGAGCATGTGCAATCCCTTACGATATAGCCTGCTCATGTTGTCAACGGACTTCAAGTCACAACATGAGAGTACTCCTAGCTTCTTCACTGAAGATGTGAGATGTAGCTGTTGGCCGTCAAGAGTGTAAGTTCGACTCTCACTACCGTTCCCCAGGCTCATAAATACCGACTTGGATGGGTTGACAGTAAGGTGAACTTCTGCAGACCACATGGAAAGGCGGTTTTAGGTCATGTCGAAGTAAGGCGCAGTCCTCGGATATGCTTATCACTCTCCATATCTTCACGTCGTCGGCAAAAAGAGCACACGGTAACCGAACAAGCTGAGGTAGATCGTTGATATAAATCAGGAACAATGTAGACCCCAGCACCGTGCCTTGGGGTACGCCACTGTTCGAAGATACCAGTCGGCCAAAGGACTATCGACTTGTACCCCCACTTTCGTCCAGCGAGCAAGTTCTGGATTCACTGGTGCAGAGATCCATCAACACCACACACTCTCAGCTTGAGAAGGAGGACTTCATGATTCACCTTGTCAAACACTTTGCTGAAATCGATGTAGATCACATCGACAGACTTCCCCTGGTTCACTGCCTGCAACCATTTATGCCTCGTCACGAGCAGGTTGGTGATGTATAAACGATCTAGTGTGAAACCGTGCTGTGCAGGCGTCAGGAGATCTTTTAATCGGAACAGCTGTAGCAAACGCTTCTTCAAAATCCTCTCTGCAACCTTGGCCAAAATGGGTGTCAAACAAATTGGCCTATAGTTGTCCACTTTGCTAGGGTAACTGCATTTCGGAATCGGCCTTACCACCGAACATTTTCAATCAATCGGCTATGTACCTTCAGACAGAGACCTATCGAACAGGTCAGTTACGGCAGGCGAGATGATGGCTGGTAAGAATTTGAGAATCAGGGATTGTAGCCCATCAGGCCTAGCAGGCTTGGTGCCGTCAAGGTTTTCGAGTTGCTGACGCACGTCTTTCTCACCAAAATCCAGGTGATAGTGGTGCACACCGAACTTGGTGCAACTACCTGGTCGTTTGCAAGCACAGAAGCAAAGTGCGCTGCCAAGGCGGACGCACGCTCACTGATGGAGGTTAGGGGCTGTCCGTTTTCGTCCTCTACCACTGGTAGATTACTTGTCGGCCTCAGGCGCCGCTCAACGTACGCAAACATTCTCTTCGGGGCGGTTTTTTGCTGCGGTTTCAAGCTGCTTTTCGAGATGCCTGCGCTTATTCGTTTTCATACCGTTGCAAATATTTCGCTGCTTTTATACCTCACAGTCGTCGTCCAATCCAAAGATAAGGAATTTGTAAGATAGCCTGCGCCACTGCCGAGCCAGCTTACCATATTCCTTGTCGAACCAATGTGGCTTGACCGGCCCGACTTCCTGACACTTCAGAGGTGCCCATTGATTACACAATGTATTTATTTCGTTCTGTATAACTGACCAACAAGCTTCAGAAGATGCAGCTAGCGGCAGAAACCCATCCACTTGGCTGGCAGCTCGAGTCAGACCGTCGTAGTTGTAATCTTGCTTCAGTGCTTGGGATTGTTACAGCAGCACATCTATGTTGGCAGTAAGAACTGGTTGGTCGCTTGCTGCCAGAGACTCCAGTATCCGAATGTCACACACATTGTTCACAACTGGTTAACATCAAGTCTAAGCACGATGGAGTTGAGCGCGGTGTTGGTTAGCAGATGTTTTGTGCTGCCCCAGTTGCAAGTACCAGACCAGCAAACTTTGCTTCGACCTCCCAATAGCCAGTGCTAACTTCAACTTCAGCCCAGCATATTTGAGGACAATTGAAATCGCCCATGAGTAGAGAATGACGGCGCCTCATGTAGTCTCGGAGATGTGGTAGCCAATCCAAACAACGGCCCAGAGGTCTGCGATAAAATGCACCCACGAGCAACTCTCCACACCTAAGTGGGATCGAGCACCACAACTGTTCATATAGGCCATCTTCGCTTTGGTGGGAGCTCACAAGTCTCTTACACAAAGACGGGATGAAGAGCAAGACGCCACCGTGGGCATTCGATAGCCTATCACATCGGAAGCACGAATAGCCACTAAGCTCAACTTCCTGGGTGAGTACCTCATCGTTCAACCACGTCTGCGAGTCCCATTACATCTGGTCGCTCGAAAGCAACGAAACGACAGCTC